AGTATTTTTTCCTCTTAAGCCATAAAGAACAACCCAATCACAACTTCTTTCTCCATTTTAATAGCAGCTACCCAAGCCTCTATCACATTTAATCATTCCTTAGCAGTTGTTGCTCAAGCATCTGTCACATTCAACCACTCTGCAACTGCTTTTTGTAAGGTCTTGAGAATCTTAGCCTTCTTCTCTACTTTTTGCTTGGTCCCTTTTGGCGTTGAGGTTATAGGTGGTCAATTGATGTGTAGAGGTGAGGCCCAGCAGCTGGTAACGATCAACAAAATGGCAAAGGTCAAGGGGTTGCACTCATCAAACCTCTCTTCAAAACACTCATATGGGAGAACATCCACAATAAGTGAAGCATATTAATCAGGACTCGGGCCAACTTGGTATGAGTCTCTCTATAGATTGATGAGAGTAAAGTGGGAGTCGTAATTGACAAGCACCTTCAACTAATTTTTCTACATCAGGCACCAGCCACTTGAAACTACTTTCTGCCTCTTCGACGTAAAAAAAGATCAACACTCAACTCACTTATTAAGCCCTTGACTTTTCTTTATCGGTATTCATTAGTAGGAATGGTCTCTTCCTCTACCTCGGGCTCTACCCATGCCTCTTCTTTCTTATATGCTTCCTTAGCTGCCATCATAGTCACGGGCTCAGGCTCAGCTTCAATATGAACTTGAAGGGACGTTCAACTAGCCTCCCCTCTCACAGCAAGGTCAACGAAATTAGCAGGGGGGGCTACCTTAGGATCATTGGATCCTAACTCACCTATTCGGCCAAATGTCCATTGATATCATCCCTCAAATAATTGGGTGTCTAGTCACTTTCATTCTTTGGAGCCCTCGAAGGACCTATTTTCATGAAGGTGGGTCTTTATTTTTCAATCATGGAGAGTTCTCTATTGGAAATCCATTGAATAACTACAATAGTTTTAGGAATGGAATGAATGTAATATGAACCTGGAAGAATGCTTCCTCCCTCGCCTCCAATACAAACTTTGCTCGAGCCAACTTTTTGCACCGATTTTTTTTATTGGCTAGGAAAACCTTTCCAGCAACCTCTTTTCCTCCTCCACATCCGAGGTAGCCTAGAACTTTATAGTCATCACCTTGTATTTGTTCAGCTTGAGAACTTTGTTCGCTATCACCCCCTCAGTGTATGATCCCATAGGCAGTTGTTTCCCCTCGATTGTTGAAGCTAAGGATCAGATCTAGGGATGCATAGACTTTGACCTCTTTTAGACTCCACTAGTTGGTCGGACCTGAACCCCCCAATCCTTATATGAACTAACAACAAACACATGCTTCCATTCCTTTATTTTATTCTCAAGACCAATCAGATAGAACATTTAGCTCAATTCAAAGTCCATGTAGTCACCCATCTCAGCCTATAACGAGAACATATAGAAGAAAACCTTCTAGGACCATGGGATCTCCATTCATCGATAGTAACGACATAATCACCACAATCGATTTTGGTTTGATTTGAACGAGGACCGCGTTGCAATTATTCAGGATAGAGTAGAGCTTCTCACATAGTGACAGTCACAAAGCTTATTGAAACTAGACTTGATAGAAGAATGGGTCACTCCAAGATTCATAATGCGTAATTACTTGAACCGACAACACAAATGAATCTCAACATTAAAAACACAACCCTCCTCGAGTGAGTAAGCATCAGCCTCAGATAAAGCAAATTGCTTGGTCATGCAAAGGCTCCTGAACTGTGTTATGGAATTTTTATTTGCCAAAGTTAAAAAAAACTGGAAGATCAAATGAAATAGTTCAAATGTCAAGGAAAATCCAACAATTAACCCTTATATATAGGGGTGCTTGTAGTAGTTCAAACGTTGAGGCAAATCCATGCAACTTCAAGAACCAAAATCGTCTCAACACGAAAATTAAAGAAAAATTTGAGGGCAAAATTTAAAATTTTGTAAAAATTTAAAAAAATATGATTTTTTTACTTAGATATAAAGTATTTTATAAGTGGTTCATCGACCGCCTCATTCTAGTAGAACCCTCATCGAACTAACTTCTCAAACAACACTCCCCCTCCAAAGCTACCTACCTACACTATTAGATTGGGGCTTGGAGCTGTAGGACCAAATAAGTCAGCTGAATATCACCCAACTCCACTTGAAGAGTCTTTAGCTCTATTGTGTGCTCTAGCCTCAGGGTCGTAAGCTCCACTGAAGTGCCTCCACCTCCTTATTTGGTTGTGGGGCACAAATTCACACTTTGAGGCCTTCTTAATGGCTCGTAGGGATTTTGGCAACCATCACCTTGCTTAGAGCATTGGATGAGTGACATGCCTAAAACTGTGCTATATATATATATATATAATATATACTCCTTTTTAATGATATTGCACTTTAATAGAAGATATTTTGCATATTTTTTATGCAGGTACAAGAGATGAAATTTTAAAGAAAAATGAGCAAAATCAAAGCAAAATGGGGTGAATTAAAGTAAGGTAGCACAAAATGAATTGGTGTCTAGGCGCCAAGCAGTTACACTGGGATTCTAGAAGGTTGGCGCCTAGGCGCCATAATTGGGCACCTAGGTGTCATAATCAGTTTTGATGACTACGGATTGAATTTAGAATTTTGAAGGTGCATCTGAGATGACTCTTGGAGATTTCGAGAGTTATCATATAAGGAGTCAAGAGAGGCTAGGAGAAGGAGTTGAAGGAGGAAAGCGTGTGTTGTGCAGTGTTTGTGTGTGTGTGTGTGTCTCTTGGAGTGAAATTTTAAAGAGAGTTGAGAAATCATCAAAGGAACTTCAAATGATTTGCTCGGGAAGAAGTTTAAGATAAGTACTTTGTATTTTTGTTTGAGTTTAGTTATTATGAAAACCTGAATTTTAATATAAATCATATTTTGTTGTGTTACCCCATATGACCTGAGTAATTTTCTCTATTTTCTCCTTGGCATAAGAATTAATCTTGTGTATGATTAGAATTATTTAAAATTTCTCTTCTTACATACTTATGATGATTCATTACTTTGTACTTAATTTACATATCCAATCTGGTCAATTAGTATGTTAAAACTTGTTGTGAAGTCATAATGACCCGAGAGAGTTATGTATTCCTCAACTAGTAAGAATCACAATAATCTGATGGGTGATAAGGTAGCTCATTGGTTAGTGGAAAAAGATAGGGAGATAAGATTTGATGGGTGTAAATTGGTGATTTTTGGGTGACAGGCTATAACCTTAACCACATTGATCTAGAGTTTGGAACTTAAGAACTGATTCGTCCAAAAGAGAGGGCACAATAGGTGATCTAGGGTGACAGCCTAGAACCTACCCATCATAATCTTAAATTTAGAAACTTAACTCTATGTAAGCCAATATTCTTTATGAGCTCAGAAGAGGGTAAAGAATAAAATTGCTCCTATTTGTCACAAAACTATATTTAAACCTTTAAACATTTGATTCCTATACTAATTATGATATTATTGCAAGGGAAAAGACTTTTACATAATTTGACTTTTTTCCGTTTAACTAGTTTAGAAACACTCAACATTTTCTTTAAGCTTTGAAATAGGATTTGTATAAAAAACGATCTTAAAAAAAACTTGGGCATATTATACAAAAAATGATTATAATGAGTTAGAATTAAATCAAAATATGACACACAATAGGATGCACTGGAGAAAAGGGATTCATGTAGCCGACCCCACTTAGTGGGATAAAGCTTGTTGTTATTGTTGTGTATATATATAATGTGATAAGTCAAGATAAATGAGCACAATCAAGTTGAGCTATAGGCCAAGCTGAATTGCATGAAAATTAACTAGAAAATTTGAGCAAAACTCAATAAAATGCAGACTCAATGTGATTCATATTCAGCACACAGAGAAGAGGTAAAATCATCACTAATGTTAGTTGATTAATCCCACTAAGCAAATGCTTCCCATGCTTCATTATTGAACCATGCAAATTCAAACCTTGTGTTTTGAATCCAAAGTGACCTAGAATGAAGTGGTCGTGGATGAACCAAAACTATGCTCGGTTGTGGATGAACCAATCTTATGCTCATCTAAACAGAACTCATAAGTAAATTGCTCTAAACCATATTTCATTATCCATATCCTCTAAATTTGATATCAGTAATGAATTTTTGAAACCCAACTCCTATACTATTTTTATAGCTCTTAAATACAAATATCATCAATGAAAATCTTGTAATCATGCATTAATATGAAATGTGGATCTAAGCCATTGGGTAATGCTAATCTATTTGAGAATGTTGCACCCTACAATATGCAGTCTAAAACATATGGCAATACAACTCTCCATAACGCACATTTTATTAGCTTTGTAGTTCATATCACAATATTCAGAATGCATTTTAGGATAATGATTAGGACTAATTAGTATTATTTATCATAAAAACTTTTATAAATAACTCCTCATACAATCCTTACAAAACACATGATCATCATAAGAACCACAGGCAATGAAAAAGTGCCAAATGAATGAAATATTACATTACAATGAAAAAAAGAACTATTGATTTGGTGAAAAAAAAAAATTCAATGTAAAAAATAAAATATATTTTCAAATATAGTATAAAAGAAAACGTTGTGAAACAAAATTTAAGAGATTTTTTTGACAAAAAACAAAATAAAATCAATATAAAATTTGTCACTGGTGGCAGCATACAGCCAACAACTAGTCGACGGGTGGCAGATAGGGCAATCTGCCAATAGGAGGTGACCAACAAGCAGCAGGCAGGAGGTGGCCATAAACGGTGGTGAGCAGTGGTGAGTGGTGGCGCACAATGATAGCTATGATGTAATTGAAAATAGACTAAATCACACAATCTACAAACACATCAAATGTGAACTAAAGTTGCATTCTGAGTTCACCAAAATTTAACATTGCATTCTATTTTCATCCAACAAACCGCAAGAATTTATAAGCACATTGTATTTAGTTTGCATTACACTAAAGTTGCAAGCAACCAAATAACTTTTAAAGGAAGCCAGAGATTACTTGATGTGTTGGTCGCAAAAATGCCAATGAGGCAAATAATATTCAAGTCGACAACTACAAATCAGATCAAACAGTTAATAATAATTAGAACATTTTAAACTTGTTTAACCCTATAATGCAACGCTACAAAAACAGGGCAGGGCGTCAAAATTTTCTCTAGCTTTCGTATACCGCAAATGAGAAAGGAATCAAAACTTTACATCCAAAGCATGGTCAAACTAAGAAAGATATTCACCAGATTTCTTCTGTGATTCATCATTGGAATCAATGTTGATGGGAGAGTTACCATTATAGCTTAAATCTGTCGCATTTTGTTTGATTCTTTTTGTGGGGTTCTCGTGCTCAGAATCTGATGAAATGCCCTCATTGTAACCTGCATTTTTAGTTGGTCTCTCCCTCAGCCTTTTCTTTGTCACTGCATGATAAGCATTAAAAATCCGGCTGCTCCGACGCAGCCGAGCATCTATTTTATCATTTGAGTGATTCTTCTCATGTGCGGGTTTCGAAGATGCATTCGTATTTTTCTTCTCGAATTCAGAGTCGAGTGTTTCGCCATCATCAAGTCCGGCACCATCTTTCTGTGCTTCACAATCATCATCCTCATCATCATAATTGCTGAGGTCATCCATGTTCTTCACATCATTGTTAACCTCAGAACTCTTGGGGTCTCCATCATTGCCAGAGATTTCATTCAGTGTGTCCATGTTTCTTCCATTTAGGGAAGGATATTGCTTGTTGAAGTCATTCTCGTATTGATATCCTTTTCGCTTCCTTGGTTCCACATAATTTGGGTCCCTGAATCACAAAGAGCTGCTCACAGTTATGAGAGTTCACAGTGGTGGAGCCTAGAAAATATACATATTCGATCAAAATGACTGCAGTTTTAAATTGCCTTTAAGCAGAAATGTGATTCTGTGTGGAAGAGCCTAGAAAAGTTACAGGTTTGATTAAAATGGCTGCAGCTTTAAACTGTCTAAGTAGATCTGGGATTCAGTATCGAATTTACCTAGGAATTGTGGCTTTCTTTCCTGCACAAAAGAAATAGATAAATCCTAGCAAAGAAAAGGCATATATATATATGTGTGTGTGTGTGTGTGTGTGTGCTTACGCATGCATGCGCGCCGCTTCGCGCCGCGTACTCAGATCATTTGGTCGGGCGCTTGTCAGTTGTAAGTTCTCTCTGGTCTGGGGTTTGATTCCCCCCGAGTGTAGGGTGTGGTCCTCGAATTATAGACGCATGAGGGATGATCGGGGCTCATATCATAGCCTCCGGCCATATATATATATATATATCAGAGTTCATAGGATTAAAAAAGTATAGTACAGGAAAGTGAACAAAGGGAATACTGCATGGAAGATGAACAAAAAATGAGAGAAGCATATTTCCACGACCACGATATAAGGATATAAAGTAGCAGGATTAAAAGGTAAAGGAGCATACGATTTTTACAAAAAGAAGGGCTTAACTTACGATGTCCTTAAGGCCTCATCAATAGAGCGATCATACATATCTGCAGACAAATCAAAGGATTTCAGTAAATAAAAAGGAGGCTAATTTGTACCATAATGAGTAAATGAAAGTCAACACTCTGACAACTGATTTGCAATCTTGTTAGTATTGAAATTAACAAAATATATACCAGAAAATATTTGCTATTATAAATTGGCAATAAAGAATAAAATCAAATTTACTCTATACACAGGCATCCATAACATACCCCAGGTAATTAAACTGACATTGGAGAAGAAAAGCAATGTCAGCTTCAATTGTGATCAAAATCATAAGTTGTGAGACATGAAATAGGTAATTTGACCGAACTAACAGCCCAGCATGGACAAGGTAAATTTGGCCTTTTAAAGCATGCTTAAAGAGGTATAATCGTTTGACATATTGTCCAATGTTTAAAGTGGAAATGTTGTAATTCAATAGTAGTATAATTCTCCATATTCATTTGAACTGGTCAGCTCAACTGATTATTGGGCAGCTTCAAAGATTGTCAAAAGGCTGCTAGAAATACAGTGAGAATATGAGCGAGATATATTTGTCATACCAAATGTGTATATTGGGGGCCTATGATTACGGCAAGAGCGTGCAGGCCCATGTCTACAATTTTGAGAACCTTCTAATAGTCGAGCAAGCCTTTGTTTCCGTGCTTTCTTCTATAATCAATATATAGATAAAGTTAGAATAGAATGGACTTAAAAGAAAAGAAATAAATTAAATAGAAAGGTGTCAAACGGCACAAGAATACAATCCATAAAAAAAAATGAGAGAAAACATCACTCCTATTTGAAGTGAGAGCAATGCTAAGTGGCTACTCGTAGCCATAAGAAACTACCAACTAAACCTTTTCAATTTTCTCAAAAACAGGAAGAATCAAGGTTTTTAAAGTCTCCCCTACAGAGGCTTCCCCAGATATCTTGCTTGATGAAAGACTATCCTGAAGTTTACCAGAAAAGAAAAGTGAGTTTATACGATATTAATCCAATTATAATGAATGGGTACAAAAATCTTACCATTATTCCAGAAATTTCTTCAAGATTAGTAGCTATAGTTTCCCACTGAGACTCAAATGTAGGTTCCACGAAATCCTTTCCTTTTGCATTCTGTTTAGAGTATGTTTTACCTATTTCTCTATACAGTCTATGACCAATTACTGAATCGCCTTCATACCTTATAGGAAAAGGCAAAAAGCAGACGAGCATTTCAGAATTGAAACAACAATATAATAGGAAGAAGATTTGTAGTTGAAGTTAAATTGCCAGAATGTAAATGCCCATGACTTGTCAACCAAGCCAAATGGGTCAAGCCTTCAGAAGGCTCGAGCTCGCAAGAACTTTTTTAGTTAGATTTTTGGACTCAAGATTGGCTCAATAATTTCAAATCTTTTCAGCTTAAGTTCAGCCCAGTTTTCAAATTGAGCCTCAAGAGTTCACCACAGCCCTTTTTCTCATCTTATATTTTTTTGGAATTTATTATAGTTTGCTATCAATATCCTTAATGCAATCTACTACTGATGCACTTGTCAGATGTTGAGAGTTGATATATAACTCTAATATAGTCCGACACTAATTTTTTTAATGATGAATCAATCAGGCACAAGCCCTGTATAATGCTCTTATTATCTGTACAACATGAGCCATGCTGAAAATTTTAATATAATCCAATGCTAGTTTTGTTAATGATGGATCAGAATATATATATGAATAAATCCAAAAATTATCCCCCAAATTTTCCTATGTGGCCAACTTAGTTCCAAAGCACACATTTCTCAAATTTGTCTCTCTACTATACAAAATTTATCCAAATTTAATCTACAAGCATTTCTTTTATCAATTCTACAGAAACAAATTAGCCACGTATAAAAAGTTAGGGAACCATTTTAGGATTGAGCCATATGTGTGTCGTATGGTCCTTAATATTAGTTTACATCAAACTAATAAAACAAAAAAATAATAATAATGTGTCTTATTACATGAGCAAAGCATATCAAAAAAACTGAAAGGACAAGTGCAAAGATTAAATTATAAAAAAAATCTAATGACCGAGATTTACCAAGTTACAATTGACTTTGATGATACTACAACTAACAAGAGCTGAAGAAAAAACTTAAGAAGAGTGGGTAAATGGTGGCCATGCTGGTATTGGATGCAAAACTGTAACATGGGTATCATGGACATCCTAAATAAAATCAATAATTTGGTAAGAATACCCTGGCAATGAAACTGTGGCAATGGAAAAAGTGTAAAATTAATCTGTACAAGTGATAAAGTAGGTAATAATATAAGAAATTGGGTGCATCCAACATAATAATCTCCCTCTCTGGTGAGGAATCTAGATAATTTCATACACTATGTCATTATGTATGTACACTGATAGGACAATCTAATTATAAAAAGGCGACTCCTAGTGCTTAAAAATATTAAAATTAACGAAAATATACATACATAGCACGCAATTCTTATGTATTCACTTATTGCACACTCAAACTTTGATTTTTACGAGCTAAGCATATTTTTCTATATTTGAAAAGATGTATGAAAAGATAGATTACATTTTTTTTTTTTCTCTAAGTGCTTTGCGTGTAAAAGTCTAAGTGTAGGTGTGAGAAGTAAATGCATAAGAATTGGGTGTTATGTATGTAAATTCTCCTAAAATTTAAGCTCACAAGACTTAAAAATAGTTCGAAATCGAGCTTCTCAGACTTGAGCTTCTGGAGTTTAAAATCAATTCAAGATTTAGCTTTTCAAACTTAGGCTCCTAAGAGACAAAATAATTCAAATATGTGGTTTTTTTTTAACCTTAAAATTATCACCGGATTCGCAACACCTTTGCATGCGAACATAAGACGCTACTTTTTAAAGAACAAAAATGTAATTTTGCATGCACTACAATAAAGATAATGCTTCAACTCAAAAGATTTGTTTTAAAATATGTGAAAGTAAACTACATTCTTTCAAGTGATTATGTAAGTGCGATTAAATTATGTGCAAATGGTTTTAGCCTCATGTTATACTTTGAAAATCAACACATGATATAATCATATATATGTTTACAATCTCAAAATTAACTACAAAGCCCGCATGTGCTCCAACAAATATATTGAATAATCAAATATTAAGTTCGAGAATGTTGTGCGGGCTAATTAGGTCATCTTGTCTAAAGGTTAGGGTCGTAAGTCCCTCCTAAATAGTTTTATCATTCTCGCAAGGACTGGAGTTGATGAGTCTAAAAATTTAGAAATAAATGTCAAAATCATAAAATCATAATTTACAAGTCAAAATCACCTAGTCTGATCCTCTTTGTAAGAACAGGAGTCGACATAGCTCATACTCTAAAAGTCTAAAATAACAAAACTGAATACTCCCTTCAAATATAAAATTTTAAAATGTTTAACTCCCTAATAATCGTCGAGTTGATAGAATATCTCAACCAGAGATGTCTATTTTAAAATTATGCTTCAAAGTTTATTTTGAATACAATTATTTCAATTATTGAACTCAATTCTCTTTAAGTGGGACATAGTCGGCGGGGTTTAAAGATAAATTTTTCAAAATAATAGCAGAATTGATAGAAGATTTCAACCAGAGGGATCAATTTTCAAAATTAAATTTCAAAATCAATTTCAAGAAATTCAAATGATATATATGAACTCGATCCTCGATAAGCAAAATAGAGTTGACAAGATTCATATACAATCATCTGTCAATACTAAACTTAATCCTTTGCAAGCAAGATGTAAAGTTGATGGGGTTCAAATCAAGCAACCAAAACTCTGATGATGGTTGTGTTGATCGAAGATTTCAACTGAAGGAATTAATCTTCTAAATCAAAACTTTCAAAATAATCATCCACCATTCATAACAATTTGTTGAGAGAAAAACTTTTGATTAACTTCAGCTCACAAAAAATGAATGTCGTATCAAATACACATCTATATTCACAATCAAAGCAATCACTTGCCAGTAAGCACATGGCCTGAGTTCTTTGACTGTGAGGTTTAGCCGCTAAATGTCACCACAAAATAGCGGTTACGACCAGAGCTCTCTGATTGTGCCGTTGCCACCAAATGACATCATTATATTATGATCACGATTGCAACCCGTACGTTCCCCTGTGGCTTTCTACCCTTTGAGTTGTGAATCATAAGGGTACCACTAATTGGCATGAAGTCTCCTATTAGCTAAGGTTGACTTAAATTTATCCACCTAGACAAACATCTGTCACATATCTACGAGGATACATTGGATGACGTAACTCATGGTTGTTGATAATAATTCTTCAGTCAGGTTGGGTCGAATGCCTTCTCTGACTAAGTATATCAGGGACCATGATGACCTATGATGACGAAACAATAAAATCTTGATCGGGAGTCACCTTCATTTTCCCATCATCCGCCTTAAACTTCAAGTGATAAATTTTGCAATTTAAATCTTAAGTCTGTTGTTATTATATGTTGGATATTTAATTCTTAATTACTAGCCTTAATCAAAAGAGCTCTTCTGTTACCAGGATTAACGGGTAATTAACCATAGGGCCTGCGCCTATAGTAAAACTCAAACCCCATATCAAAAAATCTTCGTAATGTGAGAGTGAAATCTTTGGGTGGTGTCTTATCTACAATACAATGTCCTCTAAAAATTTGATCCTCCAAAGCTCTCTCAACAAAGCAAAAAATAAAATAATTACAAAAAATACTTGGGGAGTAGTTGAGATTTTCATAGCCCACAATCAAGAATGTTTTGATGACCCAAGTAAAATGGAAAGGTGGTTGGTGGGGTTCAAAGGTCTACCTGGGCTTGCAAAATGGTAATGTTTGATACAACAATCACTGAACATCCCCAATTGACAACTAACTCGCATCATTTTTCACCTCACGTGACACAAGTATAAGCATGTAGAAGATAAATACTAATACTCACCAACATATGGGTAACCAAAATACAACATATGATGGCTAACTGATCAGTATGCTCGAGGTCATCATCCCCACAAAAGGGGCCATTGTCATCATTGACATCCTTACAAGGAACAGTAATTGAACATTCCTCAGGCCTGTTATACTCAAGAACTAAGTGCTGAGGACAGTGACTAATGACATGACATTAATTATAGCACTTGAAACAAGTGGTTGATCCTATAAATACATTTGAGAGGGCAAAATCTCTTGAAGAAGTGCTCCTAGTTAAGTGTGGAGAGCAGACCTATTCTAACAAGAATGAGGAGATTGTCATGATAAAGACATGCTCAGCGTAGCATCGTATTTTTTATACTAATTGATCTCAAGAACATGATTATAGGCATCCTTAATTGAATTAGGTCCATAAAGCTCAACCTCCAATTTGATGTGCAGGAGCAAATCATTAATAAATTTGGTCGTAATGACCCAATATTGCTCGAGAGTCCACATCCAGTGATTAGCTCCTTAAATTTGACAATGATTTCTACAGTAGAAAGAAACCTCATCACAAGTTATGGAATTGCTCGACTGGACGTTGATGATAGTGTCAGGAAGTTAACCTTTAGCATAGAAATCATTACATCGCTTGCCAAGCGAAGATAACGTCATCATTAAAGCAATCAATTTCATTTAGTAAACATTAATATTTTAAAAGAGGTGGAAGCGCAAAGCATAAGCTCCAAGGCATCAAGCATAAGCCCCATAATAAAAAATAAATAAATAAAGAATATAAATATTAAGAAAAAAGAATAAACTATTTAAGCATAATAAAAAAATTAAACACAAATAAAATAATTCTTCTACGATTAGATTATTCAAGATACTGGCAAAAATCCACCAAAAAAAAAGTAGAAACATAAAAAAATAAGTAAACATGTTTAGTTCAAAAAAAATAAATTTATGATCATTTAAGGCCCCATTTGGCGTCGCATTTATTATGCGGAGGGGCCCAAAAATGTGCTTTTGGATGTTTTTTTTGTGTCGTGGCTGCGTTTTTAAAAAATTCGCTTAAAACGCAGCCGCGAGTTAGACCCTGCAGCCCGCGTTTATCCTCTCAACCACATGCATATTCACCCTAGGGCCCCTCTCCCTCTCCCGCGATTCTTCTGCCCCAGGTATCCAGCTCGGATCCATGTTCTGGTGGCTAGGTTGGCTATTTTCGGTTGGTGATCCATTCTTCTCCCTCTCCCGCTCTTCGGTTGGTGGTTATTTT